AAGTTCTAAAAATTAATAATTTGTTCGATCAATAAATAAAAATGATTTATTTCAATTTTAAAAATTAAATCAATTAATATAAAAATAATTTATAATTGAGCAAATAAATTAAATACTATTTATTAGGTTGACTGGTTGACCCGATCAGTCAAACCAGTTGAACCAAATCCGGTGACCAAAAAAGGGTCAATCACCTTCTTGTGGATTAAATCATCGGTTGCATAAAAAATAAATAAATAAATAAATATATATATCTATAGTAAATTAGCTTTAAGTTTTGGGAGAAATTGTGTATATATTAAAAGTTGAGGGATAGAAATGTACTTATACTAAAATTTTAGGGGTTTAAAATTATGCAAATTGTAATAAAGTTAACGGTTAAGTAACAGAAGGACTAATAAGGTATACTTTTTCACAGTTTAGGGACTATAATTTAATAAACCAATTATGATATGAAGAGTGTACACACCCTTTAAATTTATGGAGCAAAATTTAGAGTTTAACTATTACTTTATTTCTAATGAAAAACTTACTGAAAATGCCATCTAAGGGGAACCAAAAATTTCAAATTAATATTTAATTTTTGTATAACAAATGTGTATTTACAATATAATAATATTTGTATTAACTACTATTTTTTTTTGTGTAAGTTATGTATAATATAATAAACAATAATTGGTAAAAAATAACGTAATTTTCATTCATCCGTGATAGAAACAAAAACCATAATATACAAGAAAACATTCAAATATAATAAAGATCATGGTGAAAACTAATGAGAAATAAAACTTGCTCTTGAAATAAAAATGAAGGGCAATTGGGAAATGGTACATGCAAATTGCAGAAGTTTATTCCACAGTATATTGATTATAAATTATCAAATACTAAACAGAAATGGGTTATGAATACAAAAGATAATGGATTTAAACTATAAGATTAAAGAGGGTAGAAAAAGTATAAGGAAACAATAGGAAGATGGTAAACTTACCTTAATGAACGAAAATATGAAAGCTTGTACTGTAAATAATCCTTAAAATTCTTAATTGCCTTCTCGGATTGTGGCAAATTGTGGTAGGAAGATGAAGTAGAGATGGGAGGAAATATGGCAGCAATGTTTTAGGGGGAAGAATGGTGCAGAAAGCAAAGAGTGTGTGGGAAGATGGGATGGCATAAAAGTTTACATCACCAACATGGAGTGTGATGCTAAAAGGGTGAGGCTTTCAGCAACAAAGTGATTGTTGCTGAAAGTTAATTATATTGCAATCAAGATTCTAAGTAGTAGATGGATGGACGTGACGGTCATACACACTCCCCAATATATAAGATTCGGATTTAGATTCTTGGGTGTAGTTGTTTTAAATCAATATTAATAGTAAAAAATATAATAGTTGAAGTAATATGTATCTAAATATCAAATTAATAGTATAAATGATTTAATACATCAAATATAATGTAAATAAATCAAAATATTTTAGATAAAAAATACGAGTTAAAAGAAATGTAAATTAATATTAGTACATGCCATTAATATATAAGTTATATATTAATGTTGGTTATTAACTAAATGAGTTTGCATAATGTTTTAAATTTTGTACATGACATTTTATTTAAATATAATTGATGACATATAATAAAAGTAAAATTATTGTCATATTATAAATGGTTAATGTTAAATTTTTTTAATATAATTACTTATTATATTATCATATTACAGGTTTAAATTACATAATTTTTCTCTTTTTTAATAAATTAAAAAATATAATAATGAATTAAATTAAAAAAGTATGATATTAATATTTAAGAACATGAAAAAAAAATACTTATATAATTACAATTCATACCATAAAATAAAAAAAGTTATCAAATA